TTTTAATGTCTCTGTCTCCTTCAGTTCTGCTCTGATCTTAGTTATTTCTTGTCTTCTGCTAGCTTTTGAATTTGTTTGATCTTGCTTCTCTAGTTCTTTCAATTGTGATGATAGGGTGTCGATTTTCGATCTTGCCTTGCTTCTCATGTTGGCATTTAGTGCTATAGATTTCCCTCTAGACACTGCTTTAAAAGTGTCCCAGATATTCTGATAACGTTGTATCTTCGTTCTCATTGGTTTCAAAGAATATCTTTATTTCTGCCTTCATTTCATTATTTATCCAGTAGTCATCCAGGAGTAGGTTGTTCAATTTCCATGTAGTTGTGCAATTTTGAGTGAGTTTCTTAATCCTGAGTTGGATTTGACTGCACTGTGGTCTGAGAAACTGTTTGTTATGATTTCCATTCTTTTGCATTTTCTGAGGAGTGATTTACTTCCAATTATGTGGTCAGTTTTAGAGTAAGTGTGATGTGCTGAGAAGAATGTATATTCTGTGGATTTGGGGTGGAGAGTTCTGTAAATGTCTATTAGGTCTGCTTGGTCCTGGTCTGCGTTCAAGTCCTGGATATCCTTGTTAATTTTCTGTCTCATTGATCTGTCTAATATTGACAGTGGAGTGTTAAAGTCTCCCACTATTATTGTGTGGGAGTCTCAGTCTCTTTGTAGGTCATTAAGAACTTGCTTTATGTATCTGGGTGCTCCTGTATTGGGTGCATATATATTTAGGATAGTTAGCCCTTCTGTTGCATTGATCCCGTATCCATTATGTACATTCTTTGTCTGTTTGATCTTTGTTGGTTTAAAGTCTGTTTTATCAGAGACTAGGACTGCAAACCCTGCTTTTTTTAGCTTTCCATTTGCTTGGTAAATCTTCCTCCATCCCTTTATTTTGAGCGTATGTGTGTCTTTGCATGTGAGATGGGTTTCCCAAATACAGCACACCAATGGATCTTGACTCTTTATCCAGTTTGCCAATCTGTGTTTTATGATTGGGGCACTTAGCCCATTTATATTTAAAGCTAATATTGTTATGTGTGAATTTGACCCTGCCATTTTGAAGCTAGATGGTTGTTTTGCCTGTTAGTTGATGCAGTTTCTTCATTGTGTCAATGGTCTTTACCATTTGGCATGTTTTTGCAGTGGCTGGTACTCGTTGTTCCTTTCCATGTTTGATGCTTCCTTCAGGAGCTCTTGTAAGACCAGCCTCGTGGTGACAAAATCTCTCAGCAATTGCTTGTTTGTAAAGGATTTTATTTCTGCTTCACTTATGAAGCTTAGTTTGGCTGGATATGAAATTCTAGGCTGAAAGTTCTTTAAGGATGCTGAATATTGGCCCCCACTCTCTTCTGGCTTGTAGGGTTTCTGCTGAGAGATCTGCTGTGAGTCTGATGGGCTCCCTTTGTGGGTAACTCGACTTTTCTCTCTGGCTGTCCTTAGCATTTTGTTCTTCTTTTCAATCCTGGTGAATCTGATGATTATGTGCCTTGGGGTTGCTTGGTCTGCTTGAGGAATTCTTCTTGAGGAATATCTTTGTGGTGTTTTATGTATTTCCTGGATTTGAATGTTGGCCTGCCTTGCTAGGTTGGGAAAGTTCTCCTGGATAATATCCTGAAGAGTGTTTTCCAACTTGGTTTCATTCTCCCTGTCACATTCAGGTACACTGATCAAACGTAGGTTAGGTCTTTTCACATAACACCATATTTCTTGGAGGCTTTGTTCATTTCTTCTCACTCTTTTTTCTCTAATCTTGCCTTCTCATTTTATTTCATCAAGTTGATCTTCAATCTCTGTTATCCTTTCTTCTACTTGATTGATTCGGCTGTCGAAACTTATGTATGCTTTGCGAAGTTCTTGTGCTGTGTTTTTCAGCTCCATCAAGTCGTTTTTGTTCTTCTATAAGCTGGTTCTTCTAGTTAGCATTTCGTCTGACCTTTTTTCAAGGTTCTTAGTTTCTTTGCTTTGGGTTAGAACATGTTCCTTTAGCTCAGAGAAGTTTGTTATTATCCACCTTCTGAAGCCTGCTTCTGTTAGTTGGTCAAACTCATTCTCCCTCCAGTTTTGTTCCCTTGCTGGTGAGAGTTGTGATCCTTAGGAGGAGACGAGGTATACTGGTTTTTGGTGATTTCAGCCTTTTTGCACTGGTTTCTTCCTATCTTCATGGATTTATCTACCTTTGGTCTTTGAAGCTGGTGACTTTCGGATGGGGTCTCTGAGTAGACATCCTTACTGTCGATGTTGAAGCTATTTCTTTCTGTTTTTTAGTTTTCCTTCTAACAGTCAGGCCTTTCTGCTGCAGGACTGCTGGAAGTCTACACCAGACCCGGTTTGTCTGGGAATCACTCATGGGGGCTGCAGAATAGCAATGATTACTGCCTGTTCCTCTGGTAGCTTCATCCCAGAAGGGTATCTGCCAGATGTCAGCCAGGGCTCTCCTGTATGAGGTGTTTCTTAGGATATACAGGGTCAGGGAGCCACTTAAGGAGGCCATCTGTCCCTTTTCAGAGCTCAAGTGCTGTGCTGGGAGCTCCATTGCTCCCTTCAGAGCTGCTGGGCAGCAACGTTTAAATCTGCTGAAGTGGGATGCACAACCGCCCCTTTTCCCAGGTGTGCTGACCTGGGAAGGTGGGGCTTTATTTATGTCTCTGAGCCTTTTTTCAGAGACAACGCCCTGCCCAGCAAGGAGGGAGTCTAATCATAGTCTGCCTGCAGAGGCCTTGCTGAGCTGCCCTGGGCACTGCCCAACTGCTGTGTAAACCTCCTTGCAATTTTGTTTACACAGGCAAGGTTAGAACTGCCCTGTAGTGGCAGGTGCTCCTGCCCTCACCGAGGTTGACTGTCTTGGGTCAAGCTCAAACTGCTGTATTGGCTGCTAAAATCTCAAGCCAGTGAGACTCAGTTTGCTGGCCTTTTTCGGGTTGGGACCCGAGCCAGATCACTTGGCTCCCAGCCTTCAGCCTCCTTTTTTTCAGGGGAATGGGCGGTTCTGTCTTGCAGGTGTTCCAGGCATTGGCTAAAATGGCCGCCCTGTTTTTTGCCGGAAACCTGAGGCACTGGCTAAATGGCCGCCCAGTTTTATGTTGGAAACCCACTGCGCTGGTGTTGTCCACACTGGCGGGAATCTCCTGGTCTCTGGGCTGTGAAGACTGTGGGAAAAGTGTATCTGAGCTGGAGTGTCTGGGAAAGTCTCCAATGGCCTCCCTTGGGTAGGAGAGGGAGTTCTCCGGTCCGTTGCACTTCCCGGGTGAGGCAATACCCCACCCTGCTTCGGTTTTCCCTCCTTGGGTATACTCACTGTCCAACCAGTCCCATTGAGATGAACATGGTACCTCGGTTGGAAATGGGGAGATCACTGACATTCTGTGTTGCTCTCGCTGGGAACTGCGCTGCGGAGCTGTTCCTATTCAGCCATCTTGGCAGATTGTCACCTGTTTTCTTAATGGCATTGCATCAGTTGTCTTCCAGGGTTTTTATAGTTTTAGGTTTTGTATTTAAGACTGGAATCCATCTTGAGTTAACTGTGGGTACGTGGTATAAGGAAGGGGTCCGGTTTCAGTTTTCTTCATATGGCTAGCCAGTTCTCCCAGCACCATTTATTGAACAAGGAATCCTTTCTCCATTGCTTTTTTTTGTCAGGTTTGTCAAAGATCACATAGTTGTAGGCGTGTGGTCTTATTTCAGGGTTATCTGTTTTGTTCCACTGGTCTGTGTGTCTGTTTTTTGACCAGTAAGTACCATGCTGTTTTGGTTACTGTAGCCCTGTAGTATAGTTTGAAGCTGGGTAGCATGATGCCTCCAGGTTTGTTCTTTTTGCTTAAGATTGCCTTGGCCATTTGGACTCTTTTTTGGTTCCATATGAATTTTGAAATATTTTTTCTAGTTCTGTGAAAAATCTCAGTGGTGGTTTAATAGGAATAGCATTGAATCTATAAATTCCTTGGGTAGTTTGGCGAATTTAACAATATTGATTCTTCCTGTCCATGAGCATGGAATGTTTTTCCATTTGTTTGTCTCATCTCTGATTTCTTTTTATTAATTAAAAAAAAGATTTTTTTCTTTTGAGTTGGGGTCTTGCTGTGTTGCCCAGACGGATCCTGAACCTCTGTGCTCAAGCAATCCTCACACCTCAGCCTCCCAAAACACTTGGATTACAGGAATGAGCCACCACACCTGGCCTTCATCTCTGGTTTCTTTGGGCAGTAGTTTATAGCTCTCCTTGTAGAGATCTTTCCCCTTCCTAGTTAGCTGTATTCCTAGGTATTTTATTCTTTTTGTGACAGTTGTGAACTGGAGTACATTCCTGATTTGACTCTTTGTGTGACTCTTGTTGGTGTCTAGGAATGCTAGTGATTTTTTGCTAGTGATTTTTCCACATTGATTTTGTGTCCTGTGACGTATTTATCCATTGACTTTTTCCGTATATGTAGGATTATTTAAAATAAATCTCTGGAAGTGTAATGAATTTCAAGATCAAAGTAGTGATCATTTATAGGTCTTTTGATAGGTATTTCCAATTATTAGTTTACTAAGGCATAGGAGAGCATACAAACGTTTGTTATCCCAAATCTGTGTAGGCACAGTATTATCTTTAAAAATAATTTGATAATAATAAGGCTGTCGTCTTTTCATATGCAGCTGGATATTTACATTTAGATAATAATGAAGTTTCATTGTTCAGCATAATGCGCATTCAGTGTTTGTTGAATTAATTTCAATGAAAAACCCTTGGCTAGCATTTAAAACAAATTTTCTCTTACTCCATCTCATACTGGAGGAAAGAATGTAGTTATTTTTTTTTACTAGTAAAAATCAATTGAATGTTGCGTTACTCAAGCCATCCCTTGCTCAGAATTTTGCATTAGCTTTCCAAATACTTCAAATAAAGTCCAAACTTCTGAAATATATTGTAAATGGTATGTTTTAGAATTGGCCATCTCAGTTTTCAAACTAGGAAGATCATCTTTTAGCATAGAAATTGTATTTTTTTTTCCAGAAGTCTAGATAGGCATTTCTTTTTCTAAAACTGAAATTCCATGAAAAAAGAAAATATTGATTTTAAAATTACCCATCTTTCTCAGCAAACTTCTAACTTTGATAAGTTTTATTCCTAAAATGTGTTTACTTAAATCATCTTTAAAATATATTTCAAGGCCAGGCGCGGTGGCTCAAGCCTGTAATCCCAGCACTTTGGGAGGCCGAGGCGGGTGGATCACGAGGTCAAGAGATCGAGACCATCCTGGTCAACATGGTGAAACCCCGTCTCTACTAAAAAAAAAAAAATACAAAAAATTAGCTGGGCATGGTGGTGCGTGCCTGTAATCCCAGCTACTCAGGAGGCTGAGGCAGGAGAATTGCCTGAACCCAGGAGGCGGAGGTTGCGGTGAGCCGAGATCAGGCCATTGCACTCCAGCCTGGGTAACATGAGTGAAACTCCGTCTCAAAAAAAAAAATAAATAAATAAAATAAAATAAAATATATTTCAAATTTTATTGAAGGGAACATATGGAAAGAATCACATTTAGGTAATCTTAAGGTTTTTTACAGACTCCACGCTGACTTTCCAATTTTTTCACCTTCTTGAAAATCATTTGGACTTTGTTTATCTATTTAGGATAATAGAACTTTACAACTATGTATTTATTGTTTTTGTTTTAAATTTCCCAGTCTCTTTCACAAATATTTTTTCATTTGACTCGGAAATCTTGTGAGGTAGATAGTATCATTTTTCATATGAGTAAAATTATATGCAGAGAGGTAATATGAGTTGCCTAATATTACTCTGTGGGTCACTGACAAAACCTAGATTCCAGACCTGCCTCTGGGGTATCTGGAAGCTAAGCTGCCTCCAGTACTATTCAATGTATATTTTGTAATTGCCTCTTTTTTCATTTATAAAGAATAATTGAACTGAACACAATGAAATATTGTATTACTTAGAGCCAACATATAGCACTTAGAGACCTTTACAAACTGCTAATGGGAAACATGATTATTTGCTGTCTAGAGTATGAACTTGACATGAGAACCAAGTGTCTACCAGCATTTTCCCCATACCTAACCCATAGCTTATCCAGTTTATCTAATTTGGTAAGGAACATGAAATATTCTGGCTTGTTAAATCAAATAGTAATAAACTACCCCATAATGAGTGGGTGAATTAATAACTTAAAATTTAGGTAGAAATATACTTATGCCAATAATATGCCAATAAATTTTTTCAAGAAGTAGAACTTTTTATGATGTAATATTAGTTGACCATTTAAGAGAATAACATTTTAAAAAGCACAGATTACTACCTAATTTTGAAAACACTAATGAACAGCATAGTTTTCAGAAACAATTTATTAAAATATTTTCTTATTATAAAAGAATGATCAGTTTAATAATACAATATCCGCCTATGCCCAGTTTTAATGTCTTTGCTCCTTTTAACAGCTACCCAGGTGGATTTAAACAAGTAACAGCTGCTCAGCTTCACCTGAAGGATCCGGTGGCAGTAAGTCTCTTCCATTTACATATGTTTTCAAACATGCAAAGTATATTCCTCTTATATTCTGACTTTTTTTGTTAACTTGAATTTTTTTTCTCAGTTTATTTTTATTTATTAATTTATTGTTAACATCTCAATTACAGATTTATTCTTACAGGTTGGTCCATTTTTTTCTTGAAATAAATAATAAAGTTCTTAAAAATATATCTCTTTTATTTTATTATATTTTATTTTTTTGAAGACAGATTCTCACTCTGTCACCCAGGCTAGAGCACAGTGGCACAATCATAGCTCACTGTAACCTCAAATTCCTGGGCTCAAGGGTTCTTCCCACTTCAGCCTCTCAAGTAGCTGGTTGATTTGTATCCTGTGACGTCTTTATCCATTGACTTTTTCCATATATGTAGGATTATTTAAAATAAATCTCTGGAAGTGTAATGAATTTCAAGATCAAAGGAGTGATCATTTATAGGTCTTTTGATAGGTATTTCGAATCATGTACACACCACCACACCCTACTAAAATTTTTAATTTTTTGTGGAGACTGTGTTTTCCTATGTTGCCCAATCTTGTCTCAAATTCCTTGGCTCAAGCCATCCTCCAACCTCAGCCTCCCAAGTGCTGGGATTACAGGGAAGAGCCACCACACTCAGACATTATTCTATTTTTAATTTGTGTTTTTAAAGACAGGGTTGTACTGTATTGCCCAGACTGGACTCCAGCTCCTGGACTCAATCTTTGTATTTTGGCCTCCCAAACAGCTGGGACTATAGACACCCTGCTTGTTTATTTGTTTTTTTTCTGTCAATTTTTTCTTTATGTATTTTGAAGATTTAGTGTTAGATGAATTTAAGATTGGAATTATAATCCTTCTAAACAATTGATCAGGGTTAATATGTACTGATCCTCTTAATCTCCAGTAATGCTTTTTACCTTGAGGTCTATTTTTTCTGATATTAACATAGCTACATTAGCTGACTTTTGATTAGTTTTTGCCTCATACATTTCATTGTTTAAACTTGACTGAGTTATTTCATTACAGATGTATTTATTGTAAACATCATGTAGCTAGATTTTTTTTTCCTGTTTTCTTGCCTTCTTTTGGGATAGTTGAATTGATTTGTTATAGATCTAAGGCTCATCAGTATTTTTACCTTCCTTCCTAATCAATGAAATCCCTTAGAAGATTTTTTACTACCACCCTCCCTCCCCATCCACATGCTTTCTTTGTTGAAGATTTAAAAAAAAAAAACACTTCCAAATGAACATTCTTGTTACTGTTTTATTCTGTTATTGATATTTTTAAATTTTATATTCTTACAATCCCTCCTTGTAACTCAGCCTGCCTTTTGGTGTCAGTTTCCTTTTCCTTGAAGGACTTATTATTGGCATTCTTATAGTCACATTCTCTTAATACTGAACTCACCTTTTTTGTCTGAAACTGTTTTCTTTATTTTTGCTTTCATTCTTGAAAGATAGTTTTGGTATACATGGAATTCTAAGATAATCATTATTTTTTTTTCTCTCAGCTTTTTGAAGCTATTACTCAACTGGAATTTAGCTTCTATTATTGCTTTTGTAAATCAGATGTCAGTTTAATTGTTTCTTTATGTGTACTCTTCTTTTTTTTCTGGATATCTTTAAGACCTTTTCATTGTCTTTGGTTTTCATATCTTTCTACTGGAGTCTTATTTATTTGGTTTGAGGACTGGTGTCTTTAGTTATGGAAATGTGTTAGCTCTTAAATCTTCTAATATTGGGTCTGTCTCTCTATACTCTGTTTCTTCGCTTTAGAAATCTGGTTATAATAAGAGTAGACAGTTACATTTTATTGTACATGATTCAGTACCTTTTTTTCATACTTAACGTCTCACTGTCTCTGTGGGCCATTCTCAATAATTTCTTCAGATCTATGTTCTAGTTCCGTATCTTTTCACCTGTCTCTAATCTGATTAACCTTTTTCTGAGGTCCTAATTTCAATTAACTTTTTTCGTTTTGTTAAAATTTTATCATTTCGTTCTTTTTCAAGTCTGCCGGTCAGTTTTGATAGTCTTCTATTTCTTTATCATGTTTTGATTAACTCTTATATTTCTTTATGCATATTAAACATAATTCCTAGCATTTATATATGATTCTAACATTTGTGGCCTTTGTAGGTCTCCAGTTTATAATATCTGCTCAGTATACTTGGTAGGCTTATGTACCTTGAAACTTCATCTCTGGGAATTCTTTAAGACCTGTGTTAAAAGTGACTTTCCTCAAAAAAGATTCGCTTAGCTTATGGCAACCGCATGCGGCTATACCAACCTAACATTGCCTTAAGCTAAACTTTAGACTTATAGGATTTTGATCCCAGCAAGAAGGATGAATTTGGGGCCTCAAAACCTTGTGAGGTCAGTTTTGTTTCATATGTTAAAAAATATTTTAATAAACAATATTATTAGCTTCTCTAATGTTTATTACTTTATGTTTATTACTTTAATGTTTATTACTTTATCATTAATGTTTATTACTTTATTTGAGTTATATACTGGAAGAAGTTCTAATTCATACATTAATCACCAATTTTTCTAAAAGCCAAGTCCCTTGTTGTTTTACCATTTATTTTTCCTTTTACTATTGATAGACCTAAACTTTCAACTTTACTCATAGGCTAGACAGCATTTTTTTCCTATTAGAGACTATTTTATCTTTTTACTGCAGTACATTAATAAATTAGCAAAGTTGTTAGACCTGAAAATATCCTTTTTTGTTTTCCTAAAATAATGAATAAAAATAAATATATATTGTCAGGATGCAACCATTTGGTGTAGTACTGCCTAAAATTTTCTTGGTAAGGTAGGGGAGAAGGATATTTTATTATAATAAGGCCTGATATACCATTTAGAAGTTCTGTGATTTACTATTTATTTTGTATTGTTTATATCTGTTTTGTAAAAGTGTGCTCCGAGTTTGCTTCTTAGGAAATATTTAATGTTTTGTTTCATAACTAGTGTGTTTTTAAGCCTTACAGGTCAAAGTTTTTTTTTTTTTTTTTTTTTTTTTTTTTTGCATATAATAGTATTAAGAGTTATAAGGGCTATTGATAATATATACAGCCGTTAAAATAGAATTATACTTTTAATACTTTATAAATATTTTGAATGTTTAAATGAAAGTTTCTATTTTATGTTAACTACACTAGGAGGCAGTATAGTATAACTTTTTCATGTTAAAAATTTGTTGTTAGGTAACATTTGTAGAAAGTGTTTTAAATTATTGTTTATGAACAGAGATTGAAATGGATTGTAAAATGTTTGA